AGGTGGGTGAGAAGATTGTTGAAGAGAAGAAGGAGAACCCAGGTGGTGGGAACAGAAAGGGTGAGGCAGTGGGTGAAGCTAAAGTGGATGCAGTGCCACCCCCAACATGCCTGCCACCACTGCCGCCACCTTCCACGCCTCCACCCAAGCCACCTTCAACGCCGCCCCAGCCTACGAAGGGGAAGGCCTCCAAACCATCTGAGCCCATGAAGGGACCCCCAGCCCGGCCAAAAGAAAAGAAGATGCCCAAGCCACCGCCAGAGCCAGCATGGCAACCGCCAAAGCCCCCCACCCCAGTGATACCAGCAGCAACGCGCGTCAAGGCGCCTCCAAAATGGAGATCCAAGGATTGGACGGGGGTGATCAAGGTCGATGATGATGACAGCAGGACGGACGAGACATGGGGGTCATGGAAGGCAGATGGCACCATCGACAAGAGTTGGGACATGCAGGGCACCATCGACAAGAGTTGGGACATGCAGTCGCTATGGGGCCAGGGAACCCCCCATTGGGAGGGCACTGTCTCTCATGGGTGGCGTGACCATGACAAGGGTCAAGAGGGAAAATACAATGCAGGTGGATGGGGCACTGGTTCATCCGACGCAGGTGGATGGGCTGGATCATCGTCAGATGGGCAAGGCCAAGGCCATCAGTGGCAGCACACCATGGTGAAGAGCGAGGGTCAGGGTTGGACCAAGATTCTAAGCTTGTCTTCAAGTATACATAGCAATTTGCTATTGGTTGTCTTGTTAGATACCCCTCAGTTAGCCAAGATCAAATTGTCTAATTTGTTGTCATCCAAAAAGGTTTAGCCTTTACATCAATGGCCCTTGGGCAGGTATAGACCATATTATAAGCAACTTACAATGCCTAGCCTTTTAGTTTGCTGCAGTTTGCCATAGTCCAGCATACATGCACCCATGGACCGGCCCGTTTCCCAGGAATGAATCGATGAGCTGGGGCATGGAGACGGGCCAAGACTGCACCATCACGACGATGGCCAAGGCAGAATGCCTGCAAATCGAGAAGTTCCTTGGTAAACCTTAGACCCTCAGGATCTATAGAGTAGAATCTTTGCAATGGATAAACTTGGACCCGCAGTTCTCTCAGAAACTATATGTTGCAGGCGGACATGCAGACATTGGTTTTGGGATGGGCGCTCATCAGGTGGGTAGCCAATGAGAAGAAGCTGTATGAGTTGGACCCTGTGAGATTCATGCATCCCTCTATCAGCTATGCCCTCATTTTTTAATCAGAACAACAATGAGTATGGTCATAAGGAGCTGGTGGCACCATGGGAGAAGATATCAGAGGTTGTCATGAGGCTATTTGCTCAGATTTATCCAAGGAATGTGGTGGATTGGCATCGGCTGCATTGCTCCAATTGGGTATCATTGACGAGAAGTTCTTGGATAGGGCCCCCCTACAAAGGGTGAATGAGGTGGTGAGGCAAAAGAAGGGGTCCAACCAATGTGGTGTATTTGTATTGGCTTATATGGAGCAGGAGGCTGCTGAGGCCATGGGGTATGGCCCAGCAGGGATTGGATGGCCATGGGTTGCTGCCCAGAATTGGATCACCAAGATGCAGAAGATGGGTGAGCAAGTGGAGATTGAGAGGGGGAAGAGGATCACGGCTATGAGGGAGCAGGATGAGAAGGCTAAGAAGAATGGGGAGAAGATGAGGTTGGAGAGGGAGAAGATGGCAGCATTGGCTGAGAAGATGAAGGCAGAGAATAAGAAGATGACCAAGATGCAGGAGGATGCTTGGAAATTGGTGAATGAGGGTGGTGCTTTGAGGGTGGATGAGCTCTCATCAGCCTATTTGAAAGCCAAAACCAAGATTGAGTTGGATGGGATTGGGGTATGTGGCAAGTGCAGGTATTCCAGTGGGTGTATGGAATGCAATGTATGGAAATGCGCTGCCTATTGGATGAGGAAGGAGGGGAAGAGACTGGGCAGGAAGATCCCAGATGAGTACACATTGGCTGCACAGATTGCTGCTGGGAAGGATGAGAAGAACAAGCAGAAGGATCAGAAATGATTGATGGATGACAGGATCAGCATGGGAAAAGGGTGGATCAGAATGCTATATCTCAAAAAGATGGCATGAGACAAGGGTGGATTGGAAGATCAGTTTCACAGATCAGTTTCACCATGGACCAAAAGATTGAATACTAAAAGGTAATTACTAAATAATAAATGAATATGAACGCAACTATATTTTTTTCTGTGGGAGCTGGGCTTGATTAATAGGGGGGTTTCTGGCAAGGAACAATATTATCAGGGGGAGGTTGCAGAGATCAAATTAGTCTATTATTGGAGGCTCCAGCTGGGCTTGATTAATAGGGGGGGTTGGTTAATCCTAGGTGCACATTACTCCACCTTGACGATTTCTGGGTTTCTGAAAGTCGACTAACCGTCCCATGCGCAGGGTTGTGGCAATAGTTGGTGGGACGTGCATGTGCCAGGTGGCAACGGACTTGGTTATATAAATGCTTGTCAGCGGTGCACACCGCATACACCAAGCAGAACGGGGGGGGAACAGGGGGATCCCCTCATGCCAGCCTTGTTGTCGTTGGCCTTGAGCCGGGCCTTGCCAGGACTCCGCGCCAGCCACGTGAGCAGCCTTGCTGGACGACATGCATGTCACAGTCACAGCCCTGCCTGCCTTGATACGAGCAGCAGCTATCTGACATTTTACTCTGTTCTGGATCGTCTTGGACAACCACATGGCATGACTGCAAAGGCGATATCTATGCGTCAGCAGCTCATTCCTTTGTGCTTCGCCCCGCCCTCGTTCGTTGTGATCATCAAAGATGCACCCTGGCCCACTGCTTTACAACGCACACACACAGGCATACGCCCACATGCTGGCAAGATGCAAATGTGGAACGCAGCGGCGACCGCGCCACCCAACGTCAGGGACTTTGCATCTCCAGCCAACTTCGGCACGCAAGGGCTCAAAGTCTTGGGCCTCCCGGTCGGTAGCGTTGAGCACATCCAGCTTTGGCAGGCCTTCCACCACAGAGCGCTCATGCCGTGCATCCTCCCCATAGTCCTCCTCCTCCTCCTCCTCCTCCCCCCCCCCCCCCTCCTCCTCATCATCATCATCATCATCATTGTTGTCAGCCATCTCTGCCTCCAGCACTTCCGGTTTCCGAACAACAAGGAAAGCAGCAGTTATTTTTAGCATGAAAACATAGAGTGATTCAAACAATTTGCACCGGATACAGCTTTAGTGCTCAAAGATCCGCATGGTAGCGGAGCCAAGGATCCCCCTTCCTAACCCGCAAAGGTGCCAAGGGGGCGTTCTCTGGAAACCATAGGCGGCAACCCAAACAGATCTAGAGGGTTCCTGGAGGAGTTGATCAGCTTCTGAGAGCTGTGGTGACATTTTAAAAGTAGAGTTCTGGAAGCGTGTGGGGCATTTGGATCCAGGTATGCTAAATTCTGCTCACCCCACTGAAGCTCCTCCACACTCTTCTTCCCTGTTCTTGGCAATCGCGACCCCATGAGACAGGTGAGTGTCCCATATACGCCTCTCTTCAGAAGACCGGGGCGACCCAGAAAGAATTGGTTGGTGACCTTTTTAGATCTTTGCTGGAAGACAAATCACGAAAGCGCTTACACCAATACCCCGGAACAACAATGCCAACTTTTGCAAGATGCCAGACATCGACTGTTTAGCCTTGCTCTTGCCACTTTGTGAGTGGCCTTCGTTATTATCCGCTATATAATTGAAATTTACATGCCTGAGGACTCTCCCACTTTCCTTTCTCGGCGTCCATGTGTTATTTTGTTTCACCTTAATTCTGTCCGCTTTTATTCATTTCACCGTCAGTTTGCTGGATCAGCCTAGCGTGTTTCTTTTCCGACATCGGAGGTGCCAAACGGGCACTCGGTCAGGAAGGTGTAAAGTCTTTTCTCTTCCTTGTCACTTAGTTCCATCAGACCTTCTTCGTGCCTTGGCTTTCAAAAATGGAAGATGAAATGCGTACATGGCCCAGCTGAAAAGTCAGAGCTAGAACCAGTTCCCTGAAGCGGTGCAACTCTACGCTGGAGCAGTGCCATCATGGTGGAACAGGGCAACAAAGATGGTGTGGGGCCCATCAAAATCGACAGGTTGGGCAAAGGCTGCAAGGGAAAGTGCAAAGACCAAGGTCAGAAAGGAAAAGGCAAAGGTGATCAGCAGATCAGAAGATTGAGGAACAGAGCTTGAAAAGGATGGGAGTGATTGAGGATTTGATGATTGAGGGTTTTTTCTAGACCGGCTGACCACCGAGCCTGTGAGAGATTGGAGGATCAAGACAAGGACACTTCCTGACGGAGAGGAAAAAAATTCATGGTGCAGACATAGTGTACATAGCACGTGCGGCGAGTGCCACTTCAGCAGCGTGCCGGAGGAAAAACAACATCCTCAACATCTTCCGTCCTTGCCATCTCGAAGTGAACGAATTTGGTTAGTTTTTCTTCAATTGATCCTTCAGCCTACTGCTTTCCATGTGCGTGACCAAAACGTCCACGTGGCACTTGATCTTCTTCTCCTACATATGCCTTTGCACTCCTCTTTGGGCTCACCTGTCAGTAGCCCGGATGCTGATGCTCGCAAATGTGTTTCATATATGCGCTGTCGTACGTGTGCTCCGATATGTGGCTCTATAGGTCTCTAAACCCCTCGGTTTCTAGATTGATCTAGGTCTCAAGCCTTGAGATCTTTCCAGGCCTCCAGCTTTAGATTTGTGCGTAATCGCTGATGGGTAAAGAGCAGCTTTCATGTCCCTTGTTCCCGTCAAATATTGGAAAAATTGTGTGTGTGTGTGTGGCCCGAGGCAGCAACAATATTTGTTCAATCAGTTCTTTGCAAAAATTAGGCAATAGAAACCATGCCATGTGCTGTGCCGAAAACGAATCCCACCGAAGAACGTCATACTAAGTGACACAATACAATTGTTGGGGGGGCTCTTTTTCAGCAAATGCAAAGCAACACATTACACACGCAGTCCCGCTGGACAATCACCAGATCTACAATTTCTATTTCATGGCACTAGGTGCAAACGTCAAGGCCAGTGTCATTGACTCGGCAGAAGCACAATTGCGGCGTCAAACGCGCTTCAGGCGTTCATTTTGAGTGGGTCTTTGGTGGGTGTGGGTGCACCCCTGGCGCATTAGTATGTTGGATGTAAACAAAGCACCGAAAAACATGTACTAAAAACATGGCCAGGTCTTGTATTACTGGTGGCAAAGACGTCGCAGGACAAATATGTTTTGAACATGCTAGAAAATTGTCATGCAACCTGTGTTCACGTGAGGACCTCAAAAGTCTTTCAAAGAGACAACCATGAGGTGCACTGGCAGCGGCTTTTGACAGTTGAAAAACATTGCTTTCAGAAAGGCATGGTGCGAACAGAATTGTTGTGTTGGCTTTCGCTTTAGCCAGGTGATTGTTATGGCCGATGCAAGATTGTTTCAGCCTCAGGGGCGCGAGTCTTTCCCGAATAGGGTGGTGGTGATGCTTTTGTTCAAAGCGCCGTCTGGGTTGGCTGGAGCCACGGTAAACTCAAAAGCGAAGGGCAAGCTTGGCCTGCTTTTTCTTCCCTATTTATCGTTGCACCGGGCAATGCAGAAGATAGTTATATAGATAGTTAACAATGAACGTTGCGCCATGGCCAGCCGCTCAGTCAGCATGCGGAACGGTTTGCCCGCAACATGTGGTTTGGCAAACGCGGCCTGCACAGTTGAGTCCAGCACGTGCTCGGCACTGCTTCCGCTACAAGGCGCAGCCGGAATGTCATTGATTTGTCCACGGCGGGCCGCCTTTCAAAATACTGTAACTGAGGTCCTGCGCAACCCATAAGGAGAGATCTGACGATCCAAATTGAAGTGTGAATTAACATTCCAGAGTGGTGTAGTCGCTAGCTTTCCAGATGCCAAAGCCATACTGCTTAGTCCATGGCACCGCTGTCATGCTGTTTGGGTGGCGTTGATGGTGCTGGTGTCACCTGGGGAAGGTGCTGTCCTGATTGCTGTTGTCGCAATGCTTGGAGCGAAAGGTGCTGTTGCTGTCACCAGGCTAGCTCTGTCCAGGGAGCACGGATATTGCTTGGCCTTGTGAAACATGCGAGTCTTTGGTGCTGTGGAGGGCACCAATTGCTGCGAAATTGTCCGAAGCATTTCCTGTGAAAGAAATGCGTGAGAAACTTTCCTGTGTGTTGGTGCCAATACACAAGAACAATGAAAGTTGTGCCTGCAGGCGCAACCAATAGCGATCCTGTTTGGTCTTCTTTGGTGGAAAAAAATCTTAACAACAAAAGCCTCAACATCCCCGCAATCTGACCAATACTGGCACAAAAGGACCGCCAAAAGGACTTAACAGAACATGTTATATAATTCCGACAAGACACATGTCATTTTTTCCAAAACGTTGATCACATGCGCTTGTGGAAAATAATTGTTGTGTGTTCTGTTGTTGTGGGAGGGTCTAAGCTGGCTCTTGCTACATGCGCAATGTATCCATGCATTCTCGTGTTTCGGCACCACTGAGCCAAGAAGTGCACCAGATACGTGTTGTTTCTACGGGTTTCCTTTGAATTCATCCTAGGTTGTGCATGGCGCCCGGTGAACAAGCCGGAAAGGTATGTTTCTGTTTGACAAGGTTTTGGTTGGAGTGGGTGTGTTCATCAACCAATCCCCGAAGACAATTCCCAGAGCACACTGCAGAATATTATTGTTTGTCTTGAGATTCGATTGTGCCTTTGAAGGGAGGCGGCATTTGTGGCATTTGGAGCCTTTGCTCCCTGCAGCTGCCCCGTCTACAAAGAAGGATTGCCCGGGGCAGCGCCGGCATCATGGATGGAAAGGAAACAGCGGCACAGGTTCGGGAGGATATCAAGGACCATCCGCGCCCAAAATATACCAGCTGCTAGAAGGCTAAATGTTTCAAACTCTTACTGTAGTACGTGTGATGCCGAATCTTTTCATTTTGCACGTCCAGGAGCGTGTCATCACCTTTCGTGAGAAATATGGTTCGGTTCCGGGCCTTGCGGTTGTTCTGGTGGGCGAGCGGCCGGATTCACAATCATATGTCAGGGGCAAGGCCAAGGTTGCCACTGAAGTTGGTTGTTGCATTCTCAACATCAATTTCCCTGATTCGGTTTCTGAGAGTGAGCTGCTGGGCAAAATTGCTGAACTCAACTCTGACCCTTCTGTGCACGGAATTCTGGTGCAGTTGCCCTTGCCCGAGCGAATCAATGAGCAGCGTGTTTTGGATGCCATTGACATGCGAAAGGATGCTGACGGGTTGAGTGCTTTCAATTTGGGCCAGCTGTCTCGCCCATTTGGACAAACTTTTGCAACGCCCTGCACTCCTGCTGGGTGTATGGAATTGCTCCGCCGGTATCATGTGGATGTGGCAGGCAAGGAGTGTGTCATTTTAGGACGGTCTGCCATTGTTGGCATGCCCATGGCTCTCCTGATGGTGCGGGCAAATGCCAGTGTCAGAGTATGCCATCGTTTCACGGCAGACTTGGCAAGAGCATGCTCTGAAGCTGATGTGCTTGTTGCAGCTGTTGGCCAGCCCGAACTTGTGAAGGGTGAATGGATCAAACTCGGAGCGGTGGTGATAGATGTTGGCATCAACCGAGTGAGTGATAGCACCCGCAAAAGGGGCTACCGGCTGGTTGGGGATGTGCACTTTGATAGCGCCAAAGAAAGAGCCTCACTGATTACTCCAGTGCCCGGTGGCGTTGGTCCCATGACGGTAGCCATGCTCCTTCAGAATACAGTTTCTCTGGCCGAACGCAGCATGACAGAGCCATGACAGACAAAAAAGAGTAAAACAGTGTCCTTGTGCTACTTCAGTCCCACTCATCACATGTTCCAAGCTTTGGTAGCTTGGTGGACTTCTCCGAGGTTTGAGGAAGCATGTGCTTGGGCTCCGCCCTCGTGCTGGTTGTTGATGGCATCTCATTATTTATTGCTTCAGGTTGGCCAGAATGGCGCCAATTTGCCCACTTCAGCTGCACTTGAGCTGTATGCCTTCTACAAGCAAGCCACCTGTGGCAGCAGCCTCAACTGGCACTACAGCCGGCAACGCGTTTCTTTTTGGATGTGGTGATCGGATCTTGAGGAGATTGTCCCACTAGTCGGCCTATGGGCTTCCAGGCTTCGGGCTTCGAATGGAGGCAAAGGCTTTAAAGTTTTCTTTGCTTGCTGAGGCTGCAGCAAAATGGGATGCATGGAGTCAACTTGCAGGATGCCAGCCAGAACTGGCCCAGGTTTCCTATGCAACTTGGCTTGAGCTTGCTTGAGCTGCCTTTTGCATTTGAAGGGTAGCGATGGGATGCTATGGGTAGCTTTAGATTTCACCTCTTAAGAGCCATGACACCGGCTCTGTAAACTATGTGAGCCTGAAGCATGTCTGCATTTTTTTGCAAGTGTTGTATGGCGCACATCCGTTGGCACAAATCGAAGTCGCTCCGTTTACACCTCCCCGTTTGTCTCTGTCCCTTGATCCTTTGCACGTGCAGTCGCTGCCGAGTGTGCTGAGTGCATTTTTGGGTCACTCTCTCAACCTTCATGTGTTGTTTTTCATCATGACTCTTGTAACCAGCTCCCAAAACTCCTCCATTTTGTTGTTTCTTTCAATAATGTCAATGTCGCCCCTTCAAGTCGCTGATGTGTCCTGCGAGGGCCTTATAGAGAAATGTGCGGAGCTTGTAGTTGGAAAGAGTGGTTTCGAATGCGATGAGCAAGTGCAAGACTTTCTTGGAAGCTGCCGCTGTGAGGGGGTTGAGATAGATTTATATAGATAGTGCATGCTTGGTTTGGTTGCAGGCCTTTTTGCCTTAAGATTTATGTTGGCACCGTAGGTTTGGGATACGTTTGCATTCTTTGGCAGCTTCCGATTCTCATCCTTTTGATGCATGAAGCCCTGCACAAAAGATGCATAAATTGCATAGCAGCTTTAGGGGCATTACTTACATTTTGATTTTTGAAGATGTACTCGACGCATCAGAGGTTCGATGGTTAACATCGTTTGGACGATTTGTGGCGCTTTAAGTTTGACTTGCTGACTAGTGACTAGCACACTCCACTTCACAGTGAAACTAGTATCACTTTCTCTTTTGCCGAGCTCTAAACATCATGAGCCTCTCCATGGAGGAGAGTCCTGCTGCCCATGAAAATACAACATCCGTGCCTGTGCCACTTACCGGCTCAGTGTTGTTGTAACGTGCTGGCCGATGTGACCAATGCCTACAATACAATATAGATTAAATTTAAAGCAATATTTCCACAATGCACTTTTGCACCACGAGGGGGGTGGGCACATCCTCAATCAGGAACACATGTTCGGACTTCGCTTTGCTTGGGAGCTTTTGGCTGACTTCTTTGTCCAAGCTTACGATTTCCAATGAACTGTTTGTAACATGTTTCATGACTTAATGTTGCCTTGTGGAGAATTTGTTGAGGTGCAAGCCCTTGACACCTTGGTGCCCAACTGGCAGTTTGGAGGAGCTGTGATGATTGACCACAGCAAGTGGATTGTGTGGCGTGGGCTCGTATGTTCAATTTTCTTCTTTTTAAGGAGAGCTGGACGAAACACAAGTGAGCCGAGGGAACGGTGCCGTGGGGGAGCTGTCTGAATCCTAGGGAACAGTGTCGACATGACCTGGATGTCTTTGGTTCCCAAGCCTTCTGAGTTCCATGGGGCCTGCAGTCAGCACGATGGGCGTGATAGGCTGGGCGGTGCTTGGCCGATAAGGGGAAGGATGTTCTTTCAGTCAAAACGACGTGGTTGACGACAATGCAATGTAATTTTATGTAATGTAACGTGTCTATGTATGTAATGTAATGTAAGGTAATGTAATGTAATGTAGTGTAATGTAACGTAACGAAACGTAACGCAACGTAATGTACATAATGTAGTGCAATGAAATGTGATGTAATGTAATGGTATGGTATGGTATGGTGGGGTAGGGTAGGGTAGGGTAGGGTAGGGTAGGGTGGTGTAGGGTAGGGAGGTATGTATGTATGTATGTAGGTAGGTAGGTAGGTATGTAGGTATGTATGTAGGTATGTAGGTATGTACGTATGTACGTATGTAATTAATGTATGAATGTATGTATGTATGTA